ACATTTTAGCTATCCGGATATTGATGCATGACAATTAGGTTGGGGCGGTTATTTAACCGAAGCCATAATTTACTCCACCGACATAAGTGCAAATAATACGAGAACTTGATTGGTTGATGATATTCGACAACAAAGCAAAGTCCTGCACCTACAGGGGTCCCTGAACTTGTCAGCAAATCACACAAAGATCGGCAAATCATTAAAAAAACAAAAATTTTCAGCTGAAGAACTAACCGTTGAGATCGGTATGTACGACTAGATTTTGCGGCAAGAAGAACTAGTCCTCCACTACATAGTAGTGAAGGTATACTTAGTTGCAATCTAAAGTTGCGCTTAGTTATAGATTGAACACGACATCTATTTTATGTCACAGTTGCGCGCGGCAATAGGGGTAATGGTACGTTTCGTCTCTTGCATTTTGGTGTACAATTCGTTAATAATCATGGTTATCAGAGTTAAGGGGAGAACAGGGGACGGAATGGGGGGCGGGGGTAGGGCTTTATAGGCTCTCTTTTAGGCTCGTGCTGGCCCCCGTCATGATGACTGTGGGGCCTAGCAGCATGGAACGGTCGGAAGTGCAGAAATTAGCTGAAGGGAGAGGGTCGTTATCGTCTCATGCGCATAGCGCTCCATGTACGAGGCAACGTTTATCCCTCGAGCATGTTGTACCTTGGGAGATTGTCTTATACTTTATAATTCTCACGGCATCATTCATTCTTTGTATAGAATAAACGTGAAAATGATCGCTTCTCTCCCATTGCAAAGGTTCAGAACTATAGCTCTTGTCTCTGTCGCTTTGCTTCTCTTGTTTGTCACCTTTTTTTTTTATCCATCGAGAGAAGCTCCAATTCGGTATGCACTTCCGGAATGGCCGAGCCAGAATGAGATTCAGGCACAACCTGTTCCTCCAAACTCGAAGCTAAATGCGCCCACTGAATACAATATTCAACCTTACCACTCTTCCTTCTGTGCCGAACGTTATGGTCGTCCATATCTTGAGAATACGCGTGATACTGCGACTGCATACTGTAAGCCTGGTTCCTCTACGAATTTAACCTGTTTCCACACGACCAAGTGGCCTGGGTCAGGTAGAGATACTCTGTGCCTCGGGCAGTCAGCAAGATGGGAGCCTACCGAAAAGAAGTTCAATCTCGGATGTGAGATTCGAAACTTGGATGGAGAGGAAAAGGCTAAAGGGTACCCCGATTTCAACAATTTTCGATCTTACTGGTACGGCACTGGCACGAAAGTCATTTTTGACGACCATGTCTCGCTATCTAGAAATTTCAATTCAAATTCTACCACAAAGAAATATACCATTCTTGTCAAACGCGAAGGCGAAGGGAATCTATGGCATTGCCTAATGGAAATTTGGTCGACATTCATGACCATGGATCTCTTGAAAATGGCTGTTGATCCTAAAACAAACGCTCCGTTTTACACATCTGAAGATGAAGAAAACACTCAGATAGTCATTCTAGACGAGCATAAGGACGGCCCTTACATAGATCTTTGGACCGCGATTGCACAGAGACCGATTATCAGAGTTAACGAGCTTCTCGAGACGACAGAATTCGAGAACATCGTAGTCCCATTGCCGGGTGCAAGTAATCCTATTTGGCAAGGAGACTGGCAAATTCACGATTGTGGGCTTTCAGAGTTACTACGTTCGTTTTCTGATCGAGTTCTCGATTTCTACAACGTGGATCCTTGGAAACCTCATGATGGGGATATAGTTTTGACCTTCATCAATCGACGCCGACGACGACTTGTTGATCAAGATTCCTACCTAGAAGAGCTCATGTCGCGTTATCCCCATGTAAAAATCCAAAATATTGACTTCGAATCCCTATCTTTCTCAGAACAAGTCAGGGTAGTCCGTGAGACTGACGTTCTAGTTGGAGTTCATGGAGCCGGCTTGACTCATGGTATGTTTCTTCCCGAACGGTCAGTAATGGTTGAGATCTTACCGGAAGAACTCAACCACAAGGGTTTTCGAAATCTGGCTGGTCTCCGATCGCACACATACCTCAGCGTGCACGCTTCGAAAGTACCAGCACCTTCGCGCCGGCAAAAGCGGGAATGGCATTGGGAAGATCTCTTGTTGGACCGAGATCGTTTCTTAGATCTTATGGACGTCGCAGTTAAGAGCGTATATAATACAGGATTGCGAAATTATGACGTGAATTGATTGGAAATTAGTATTGGAACAGGGCAAGGCGTTTTGGAATAATTCCTAATGAAAACGCTCAGGGTGTAAATACTTTAGCGGTCATTGTGGGTACTCGATAATATGTAGTTTGTTCTAGTTTCTTAACAAGATTGAAACAATAATCTAACCAAAGGATTTAAAGAACGAGACCTTGCTCGATTGTGATTAGATTTTATATCTATCAATGAAATAACGGAAGCACTTGCGCATCAATGGCTCTTGTTCACACAGTTCAACCCACCTTGGAAGCTTTATCTGTCTGGTATTACAAGTCGTCAAAGTACATATCTTCAACAATACCGACATATATGTGCTCAGTGCTGTCCATATTGATCGGATTCATGTCGCGGCTATTGGATTATAAGAGGCTCGAGGAGGAGAAGACGCAATCCTTGATCAATTTACATTAATGGTGCAATACAAATCTGAGTAGATATGACCCCACATAGATCCTTTTGAACAGCAAACCCTGTCCAATTAGATTCTTACGCATGTAGTTGAGAGACGGTTTGAGTTGGCTTCTAACAACTTGACTGGTATTTATCAGGTATGACCCATAACTTTTGGTTGACTGTTTGACGTATGTCTGACTTTCCATAGAGCTTTATTGGAACTGCGCTGAATTTCAGCATCGCTGATTATCAAACCTACGTGGTCAGCCCTTCTTTCAAGGGCATCTGTCCCACCATTGAAAATATAAATTTTACGGAAATCGAGAATTCTGTCACAGCAATGATGGATGGCCCATTAGTCGCATACGCGAGCACACAATTTATGATCGCGAAAGATACCAAGACCATGAATGCGACAGTAACTTACGCCGCAGTTCGCCTTGGCTAATCCGTTCACGTATGCCCTGTTTTCTTAGTCAATCATGCAATTATACTTATAGTTGTACTGGAAGACTTCAGGACTCGGGGCTGGAGTCATCTTACAACTTTTGATTATAATGATTTGAGCTCGCTTGCGACTGCTAGCTCTAGAGGCGGATATCATTTAGCTAATGCCCTTACGGCTGTTGCCCGAAAGGTAGAGGATGTCAATACGGATTTGATATTACGACAGACGAGTACTGGATTTAGTTTAGGGTTGGCGGCCGTAGAAATAGAGGAGAAATTTCATGGTTGGATATGATTGTGTCAGCAGATAACTGTTGTGTCATCAACAACCAAGCTCTCTGATAGTGTCAGTGTTTCGAATTCAAAATAATAACTCACTTCCAATTTAAAAAATCCTTGCAAGAATTTCGCGTAGTCGTGCGTAGATGTCTTTGGATACATTGAATGTCAATATTTTTCAAACTTTATCCAACTAGACTCCAGAGCATCCACAAATTCAAAGGACAAATACAAAACCACACCTGCCAAAAATAGTTCATGTGATACTTCCGATGTAGGGATGGCAGATTTAGAGTTTCATTCGAGCACGCCGTAGCAGGTGAAGTATGCGAAGAGACTGTTACGTTGTTTTCAGACTGAAGACCCGAGTACACATTCAGATATACTTTAGCAGAAACTAGTGAGAGTCTCGAGGAAGGACCATGAGACTTTGAGTTTCTATCGACGAATAGAGGTTTTGAGATATATTTAAGGTTTCGCTACCTTTCTTGAAGGTCCAGCCGTGGCAGAAGGACTAGTACTCCACAAATGACCACGCTTCATCGACCGCACATAATTCCACCAATTTTTCGGGCAATCATCGGTAATCTATATAACACGAACATTGTGAGGTGGTGCCCCTCATCTGCATCACAGACTCCAAACTTCAATAGCCTATTCATCCACAATACTTACTTCATAACTTTTCCGAAACTCGATGTAGAGTGGATGAGGAGAAGATAAGAAGTTGGGAAAATGAAAGAGGCGAAGGAATCAAGAACATATGCTTATGACAATAACTGACAAGATATTCCTCACCTTGATTCATCGTTTAGGGATATGACAACCGAGATGAGGCTCCAGCTTCCCCAAATTTCCACTTTCTATCATTGTTAATGCATCCCATCAAACAATACAATGATGATGCCATAGCCTTGTGAGTCATGGTAGACATGTGTATTTTGCTGGTTTCTTAGCTGTTACACGAGTGCCGGCATATACCTAGGTAGGTAAGCATGGGGAATAGTTGGGAAAAGATACTGGCTCTGTGCATTCCAGACACTTGTCTCTCGAGATCTCACCGTCGTTCATCACGTGGCGGGCAAATAATTTTTCTGAAAAGGAAGATATACAGTTTTTAGCGCACAAGAAACCCATCGGAGAAATTAATTTTTCGTATATTTGAGCTCTGGAAATACACTGCAGTTGAGCTGGAGGTTCTAAATGTCAATTTGAGATGGCAATTTTTTTTTTAAATCAGTCGTTGTCTTTACTACATTCAGACATTCCTGCTACGACGCAAGCAATTACCCTTCACCTTATATCCAGGGGTCTCATATACACGTACATCAAATGTGTGAACAGACGAAGGAAAGATTAATCGAGTGATGAAAAGATTATCTTGAACAGTAAAAACAGCAGAAAAGAATCTGGAAAATGACATCAAGAACTGGAAGCCCGTCGATAAATTGGCTGGAGAAATCATCGATAGAAAATGGAGTGGACGACGAAATTGGTTTTGTTGATGAAAATAAGTTCAATAGTTTATGAGCCAGATTCCTGTGCAATTTTTGATTCGAAGGAGAGCGGGCTCGAAGTGTTGGTCATTCTGGGTCTTGAGAAATCTGCACCGCATCTTTAAGCTGTAGTGCCGTCTCCCAGATAACAAGACCAGAGAGATCTGGTAGGTATTATTGCCCGAGTGATTTAAGATTGAGAGATCTCCGCACATTGAATTTAAAGCTTAGCATCAAATCTTGCAATTGAGCTAAGTAAGACTTGGGAACTGGCTTTAAATCTGTGAAAAATTTCTTGACTCTTGGATCTGTGGTGCATTCAAAACGTTCCGCCAGCCGATTTAGAATTTTAATTGAATGATCTCCAAGAGGCTTCGCCATTAATATGCGTACTACGTCAAAGAAGAGATCTGGTAATGGCTTGGTGTAATTGGGTATGAGTATCACTCTGCCATCTTGCCAGTCGCTTGAAACTCCCAGCAAAGCATAAATCATATCATGGGGGTTTGTAGATACAAAGCCTCCAAACGAAGTGACTGATATCCAGCGACGCAATGTGTGAAAAAGCGGGGGAATATCCTTCGCAAGTCTATGTGCAGACACAGCGCTCTCAGTTATGATACGGAAGTACTCAGTACTCTTATCTGTCTTCATTCTGCTATCGGAAAATATTGCGATAGAATATTGGAAGGCGTTACCGTCAATGGACTTTTTGCCACAATGCACTTTATAGCTTTTCGCCAGATGTATCTCCTGTAATACCCAGATACGTGACCAGTACGGACGCTGACAAAGAGCGACTAGAGCCTTCCATTCCTCATGATCAAAACCGTCGAACAATTGAATAAGCTGATTGATGTGTTCGTTGTAGTTCGTCGCATCACTCCTTCTGAGAATGGCTCGAGCAGCAATCTCTTTAAGCATTCTGAACGCAGTGTCGCTGTTCTCTGCCGCATTGCCAAGCCAAACGATGACACTTAGAGCACCACTGTAGATCTGTCCCATAATTTTGATTTGAGCATTTCTCTCTGAAATGTCAGATTGGTCGATGCTTAAAGCATCGATCCATATGTGCAGCCCAGTTTCGGGGAGCCTAATGTGCACCAAAGCATCATGCAAGTTCTTTCGAACAGTGATATTTTCACCGCTCACGTTAATCATCGGATCGTCGTTACTTTCTTCTTTCCACTCATAGGATAATGCCTCGTAAGCTATTTCACCTAGCTTGGTATGTATTAAGTGGCATCTGATAGGCTCATCCCCAGAGCCAGGATGTATCACGACTAACCGAATCGCGGTTCTAGAGACGAGAGGTCTGTATTTCAACTTTGCTCTAGGATTTGATGTCTCCATGGTTGATCTGAAAGTAATTGGAAGAGAATGCTGTGTTATATTTATGATAATACTTTGAAGTTATGTCCGTACAACCTTTGCGGCTGACCGCAGCTGCACAGAACCGTAAGCGCCACGACGTCCTATTGGTTAGTAAACGCCACAAAATTGTCAGAGCCATGATCGCAGGAATCATGGGGTGCATATATATCCATGAGCCTAGGGATATCTGTTCCGATGTCTCTTCTAAGGTAGGTCCCAATTTCAAAGACCACCATGCCTAGGGTCTTGCAAATTACGAGCAGTTCAAACTCGTAGGACGAGATAACGTTGATTACCGAAGTGAAAGTTTTCCTCAAGGAGATACGCAGGAGGGGCCAGCAGGAGGGCGATGATAAGTGGGGCAAAAGGAGGGAAAGATAAGAAGGAGCTTGGCAACAGACAGGGCTAACATGATATTGAAATCCTCCAACAGATGTATCTATGAAGTGGATGAATATATATTGCGCATTTACAAGTGAGAGGGGCCTCCATTGGAGGTCAGATTCAGCAAGGATTTCTTTGGCGTATCTAAAATTATGCATGCTGATTTCTTCAAGCTGTATCGCTTTCATGCCAAGCCAACCCCTGAGTCAGATAGAAGGGATTATTCGTTGAAGACCTCACAAAGGTGGACTCAACAGCCACACGTGGTCTTCTCCATTCAAGGGTTGCGCAGAAAAATTCGCGTATGCAAGAACTTCCAGTCTTTTCATGCTTATACCATAAGAGACCAATAGGAACTTCGTATTCAGTCATGAATACAGTTAGTGGATATCAATCGAAAATATGCTTAAATTTAAGGTGTTAGGGTAGAGCTACCCGACCCGATGTAAGATCTTACATATAGTGGAAGGTGCCATGAAGTTTTAAAATATTTTGAGTTTATCGCCACTTCTCCTTGGCAACACACATGACCTTCTGTTCCAGGAAATGCACTCACGACGCAATGAAAATAAGTGAAAAGTCATCATATGAAGGAAAGCGCAAATCACGTGTCGATCTGTGATTCCTTGATCGTAAGCTTCAGACTCGGGTCCTCCCGCTGTCAAGAGCGGAACCTTTTCAAACCATGATCTCAGAATGACATCATGATTTTAGCCCTCATAGTACTACCAATATTTTCTCAATCGATCGAGAATCTTATTGTACTCATTCTCATCCACAAAAAAAAAAGCCAAACTAGCACCTCTCCTCCTCCAAAGACATGAAAAACGAAGACTCTCAACTTGAATTCCAGAACCTTAACCTCTGGAATGAGTTGTGACAACCCTGGCAAGCACTTCATTACCCTTCTCTGACCAGCGCGAGAAACTTCTCGCAGTTTCTGAATTGAACTTCGCCTTTGAATTTGGGGATTTGCACCTGCAGCACCACGAGCAACATTGTCTCGCGCAAGGCTAGGTGTGTATACAAGCCGATGCGAGCTCAATACAGACCATCATGAAGTCTCGAGAAGAAGGAATGAGACACCAATATCCATGTCTGAAAGTGTTTCACTCAGATACAAAGATTGCTGAGCCGGAAGTCATCTCGAAATGATATTGTTTGGTGAATATCGCCCGGGCGTATGGTTCAATAACATACGATTCTGCTGCCCAAAATGACCGGATTATATCCAAACAGAAGAGGTCACCGAGGGAATCTCGGATTGTCTTGTGTATACAAACTACAGAGTTGGCGTTTAAGCCTTGGCCCTTGGTTCTTCCTAACTAGGACTCACCTTCGAGATTCAACGAAGAGCCAGGCAGTTTGTTCTGTAGTCCGGAGAAATTGTTCTCCATACTGGATGTTGTCGTGGATAACAATGGTCTACAATCCGACAGAGAATCGTTGCTGGCAAAAGGGACCCTGTTGGTTGACCGGAGAATGATGTTATCGAAACCAAAGATAGTTCCGACACAGAGTATTTCAAGGTCAAACATTGGCTTCATTCTGGAAGAGCGTGGAGATTGAACGATGCCAGCGAGAACGGAAATTATTTCGAGGTTGATCATTGAGCTCTCATACCTCGACAATATTAGTCTTCACTTCAATTCTAGAAGGTGAATATGATGTTGTAAGTCCAACTGACTCTTTCTTCACATTTCTAGATGACTATCTCGATTTAGATGTGTAACCTTCGACGTTGTCGGGAATCCTTGTGTGGCCTATGATCTACAGGTCCCCTTCTTCAGACCTCTTTCCACAAGTGTCTTGGCGCATGTTTTAATTTGGATATGTGGCACTTATTACAGGTGCGGCACTGGAATTAGATTGTGTAACGATCCAAACTAAGTTCCAATATTCAACAATTTCTGTGGCTGGAGTCTATCTTATAACATTCAAATGATGAAAAATCGATCGAAAATGGCTTGAAGGCTGATTCGTCTTCATACAGTGAAAGGTTTTCATTGTTGGGCTCTGACTACCTACCCATTAGAAATACTGAGTGTTAACTCCGAATTTCCGACATCGTTCTATCTCATGTCACATTTCTATGTTACATTGTTTAACTATGGAAATGGGTGTGCCATGTTGGTAGCACAACGCGCTATCTCAACGTCGCATCGAATCCGACCATCCATCGCTCTTGCCGCCTGCATTAAAACCGGAACGCCCGCTATATCGCGCCTTTTATGATGGTTGATTATCCTCATCCAGCTATCATGGGAATCCATTTCAGTCCATTGCGATCGTCTATCGCCCACTAGCAATTCTCCTCCTGTTTTCCAAGTACCGGCACTGCCAACCTTCTGCAGATCATTCGCCGTAATCCTTGCATTGGCCAAATATCTTATCACCACAACTAGATCAGACCATCGAATATATCTTTCCAATCATCAATGTGATGGTTTCTTTTGCCAAGCTTGATTTTCTACCTCTTTTCTCCCTTCGATCCGCCGCCCGTTTGACCCGATGGCAGTTGTATAAACTGGAACTCTTTACCATCTTGTTCGGCTTTCTTCTTCAAAGCTTCGATATCCAAACCGTCTGGGATGTTATCGCCGTGTATTGTTATACTGAATTTATAGCGTTCTTTACAATTTGGTTCGTGGGTCGGCCAGTCGGCCTTTTGACAATCGCGAGAGCAGTAGGGTGTTTTGCACCGTTCACAACTGGGGAAGCTTCCCATAGAAGTTTCTGTCTTGCGGCAGTTGGCACAAGAGCGGACCGGCTTTGAGAAAGAGGGTGTTGGTGGTTCTGAGGTAGAAGATCTTGAAGACATGGTGATGGTTCGGCAAACACACAATTCGAGGACTTGGCGATGGGAATAAAAGTGCTATGCAGGGCTAATGCTAGAAGTCTGGCAATATGAGACGATGTATACACGAGTGTTGAAGGATCTGAATACCCACTTTTGGAATAAAGTCACTAGTGGGATTTTGTGGAGTGGTCAGGAATTCAAAATGTAAGATGGCCAAGAATTACTTTCGTACCTGCCGTGGAGAAGGGGGTTTTATCTACATTTGTAGGACGAAGCTGTCCCTATCGATATCCCGTTATACGAAACCGATGCATATGGGATCATGCCTTGACTCCGGAAGTTGCACGAGACAAAGGTTAAGAAATTTCACCACAGACTGCTGAATCGATTCGAGACCGCGTATAAATTATTTGCATTCTTGGATATTACTTCATCCTTTCATTTGTATAACCAACATTTGGGCAAGGCTTTCGACAGGCGTTCCAAGCTATTTAGGTGTAGCGATACCAATCGTTTTTCTATGTTAATTTAATAGGTACCGAATGCATATATGTACCTATGAAATAAAAGGTTTGGTAGTAAAGATGGCAATTGGTAATCAGAAAAGTAACCCCACCTTTGCGGGAGTGATAAAAAGAACCGAGGCTAGCTAGATGATTACTCTTTGGAGTATATTACCGAATCTTGCGCTTTTGGTGAATCTCAATCTTTAACATACAACTACCTACTCTAAGTCCGGAGTTGATCTACAGCTCCACTCTCGTTGATTGGTGCCCAACAATTCAAGCCGAATTTATTTGGAGACTCCGAAACCTAACTCAGTCAAAAAGGAGCTTCGGAGTAGGGAAACGGACCGTAGTGGGGTGCATTAGTTTTGTAGATGTGACCCATCAATCTGGCTCGGTTAACGGATTTGGCTATATGTGCGCTTACATTATTGGTAAGTGCTCTGATTGCTCTGATTTGAGTGCGTCGATTATCATCATATTTTTATGTGTCACCATGAATTTTTAGTGATATTGTGTGCTTATATATGCAGGTTTGTCACAATTAATATATCTTTTCATAACTGCGCGCGCGATCACAAGCAAAAGGTACGACCACACCACCATTAATTCGTACCTGTGGAAAATCTTAGGACCCTCCTTGTGCTTGAGTAGTATTCGACCTCCAAAACTGGAAAGTTTAGATGGGAATGATACTCTATATATGCATGGGATCTCTTTGTTGAGACGAATTGACGACCACTGCATGAAAATGAGGTAGCTAGTACAACGCCAGTCGTTACACAATGCACGCCGGGTTAACGTTTGGGAATACTACCATGCTCAGTGCGAATTTACCTTCCACATTTTTGTTGATCTCAGGCCAAGATCCCACAGAGTGGCCAGATACGTATGTACATGGCATTACAAGGCTTTTATATTATTCTAGGAAAGTTTGATGTGGCCGCGACACAAGACTACAAGAGTACCAGGTGCCTTTTGATGGAACAAGATCCACGAAACCTTGATTTGAAATTGGATTGATTAACTTTATTGCTTGCTCTCAAAAAAATTCGAGTCGAAGATATGGAATCGAAGTTACATGAAGAATACATGATGGGGTTCAAAATATTTGGGTATTACATCCACAGTGTAGACCCAGATACACAAACAGTATGACGAAACCATGATCTTCAACGCATGGTGCCACGTCTCATAGTGACATGTTTACTACACAGAATCGTGCGACAGTTACAGATTGAGCCCTCGGTATCATGCAAGAGTTACCATTATCGTCTCTTTGCCACCGA